ATTTAACCAGACATAACTTCTTTGGGGTATAAATTCACAGTAAGCTTGCAACGTAAAAGGGGAAGTTAACATCCGCTCAAATAATCAGTAACGGTCATCATCTGTTGTGATTTCAGCATAAGCAGTGAATCACTGGTCCCATGGTGGTAGGGGTTATCATTGATATTTGCTTGTAAAGTCAGTTACAGAATGCCTTGTTATGGCAGCACAGTGGTTAGCACTGCTGCCTCACAGTGTCGGGGACCCGGGTTCAATTCCAGCCTCAGGTGACAGTCTGTGCGGAGTTTGCGCATTCTCCCTGTGTCTGCCTGAGTTTCCTCTGGATGCTCCACTTTCCTCCCACGCTCCAAAGATGTGCAGGTTAGGTGGATTGGCTATACTAAATTGCCTCCTGGTGCCCAGAAATGTGTAGGCTAGGTGGGTCAGCTGTTGTAAAATACAGGGTTATGGGGATGGTGTGGGGAGGCTGACTCTGGGTGGAAGCGTTGGTGTGGACTCGATGGGCCAAATGGTCTCTTTCCACTGTGTAGGGATACTATGATTCTATAACCTCTGGATTTGTATTCAGCTGTATATGCAAATATCAGAAACTGGTTTCAGTTTCACAGTCCTATTGAAAGCCAACGGGCTATCATTACAAGTGCAAATTCTAAATCAAAATGGTGTTTTTGAAGCTCTTCCATTATCATCATGTTAAATTTATCATCAAGAAAGGTATTTGAGAGGACCAAAGATGGATTAATTTTTCTTTTCACTGCCTCATCGGTTTCCACTGCATGTGGTCTGGCTGAGATGAGGCAGTTATCTAGTTCATTGATGCACTTTGCCAAAATCTCCATTAAGTTTAACACTTTATAATATGTTGGTATGTGCCTCCAGCTTATCAGATCTAATATTACCTTGCGAAGGGCAATGCAGCAGGTGTCGTAAGAAAATTGTTCGTTCTTCATAGCATTCTACTGTAACATTTAGTTACAGAACTGATGTAAAGAGCTGCAGTAACACAGATAATTTGTTTAATGTTTGTGAATATACAAATTATATTGAAATATCCAAAAAGCGCCCCACAAACCAAATTACTTTGAACTATGCTATTTATTTAAGCAAGCACAAGCAGCCTTTCCACCCCATCTCATTTCCACAAACAAGCACTGAGATCCATGAACTGTGTTTCCAGTCGATGATGAACTTTTATTTGAATCCCAGAGAACTGTGAGCTCTTCCTTAAGTAAAGCCACAGGATCGTGCATGACCATCTAGCCACCTGACCAGGCAGATGGAAAATCATTAACACCTCGCTTCTTTGGCAGTGCGGTACTTCCACAGCATGTTGTCAACCTTGGTTTGGGACTTTACTTTCAATAGGGTTTTGTATACAAAGCCTTACCACAGAATTGAATGTATTACCAACTTAATGAAACATTTGTGTTGCCTGTTAGAATTAAACTTCTCAGCTCCCTTAGAGTTAGACTTACTTTCTGAAGACACATTTTATCAAGAATGTAATTTGATGACAAAATAATCAGTTCGTTAAAATAAGGAACTGTCACCATCAAAACAACACCTCTTACAGTTTTATTACCCTCTTTTAGACACAGCATTTTGTCAGTAAATTCTTACAGGCTTTTTAACTCCCATTAGAGTTCAGTGGTATTTTTGTCCTTTATCTGTGCTTTGCACAAGGGACCAAGAAATAACTTTCAAGGATAGATTCCCAGCTGATTTGATTTTTTTTATGTTGTTTGCCTTACCTAGACGTGGAGGTCGACTATAGCAACTTAATTGTTAAGATTAACTAAACTAACACAAGTGTAAAGACTTGTATCATGTTGGTTTTCAATATGTTTTACAGCTTGATATTAATCACCAAGTTACACGGTGATCTTGAAAGATGATATTGCTCCATGATGTAGAGTGAACAAAATTTCAAATTTACTACACTTCCTAATCTACAGCATTACATTTGATCACATAATAGTTTTTGTGTAAACTTGTTGTTAGTTGCCCGTGATCAGCCTCATGCGAACAATGCAAACTTACCTAAAGCCAAAGAAAACTGTCCCCTTATTTTAAAGAGCACATTTTGAAACACAATTCAATACAGTTATACACTTGACAAATGAAAATCTCTGTTGAAACTTTTGTTTTCAACCTTTATAACAGCATGTTGCGTGTTAACTTTGATAAGGGTGTTATAACATTAAGGATATGATTGAAACATTTCAGGTTATAAAAGACAACAGCCTGTGATGTAGAGATGTAACTTAATAGAGTCATACAGCATGGAAACAGACTCTTCAGTCCAACCAGTCCATGCTGAACATGATTCCAAACTAAACTAGTTCCACCTCCCTGCATCTGGCCCATATCCCTCCTTTCCTATTCATGTACTTATCCAAATGTCTTTTAAATGTTGTAACTGTACCCACATCCACTACTTCCTCAGGAAGCTAATTCCACACATGAACCACCGTCTGTGTAAAAAAAATAAATTGCCACTTTTTTAAATCGCTCCCCTCTCACCTTAAAAATGTACCCCCTAGTCTTGAAATCCCCCATCCTTAGGAAAAGACAACTACCATCAACTCTATCTATACCTGTCATTACTTTATAAACTTCTATCAGGTCCCCTCTCAACCTCCTACGCTCCAGTGGAAAAAGTCGCAGCCTATCCAGCCTTTCTTTATAACTCCATACCTGGCAACATCCTGGTAAATCTCATCTGAACCCTCTCCAGCTTGATAATATCCTTGCTATGACTGGGCGATCAGAACGGGACACAGTATTCCAGAAGAGGCCTCACCAGTGTCCTATACAACCTCAACATAGCTTCCCAACTCCTATACTCAGAGGACTGAGCAATGAAGGCAAGCGTGCCAAACACCTTTTTAACCATCCTGTCTATATGCAAAATTCAAAGAATTGTGTACCTGCGCTCCTAGGTCCCTCTGGTCTACAACACTACCCAAGGTCCTACCATTAATTGTATAAGTTTTGCCCTTGTTTGTTGTACCAAAATGCAATAGCTCACACTTATTCAGATTTAACTCTATCTGCCATTTTTTAGCCCATTGACCCATTTGATCAAGATCTCTTTGTAATCTTAGAAAACCTCCACTGTCTACTATGCCGCCAATTTAGGTGTTGTTGGCCAACTTTCTTACCACGCCTTCAGTATTCTCATCCAAATTATTTGTATAAATGAGAAACAAAAGAGGACCCAGAACCAATCCCTGTGAAACATTGCTGGTCACAGGCCTCTAGTCTGAAAAGCAACCCTCCACCATCACTG